GCAAAATCGCTAGCCCGACGTCCCGGGGCTATTGTGTTTTCCAGTCGGGCTACCAAAATGTTTCACCACCCTGCCCGATGGGCTATCTTGAACAGTGATATAAAATTCCTTCCTTGATTAGGGGTAATGTAGGGGTAAAACGGATCATAGCTGATCGTTTGCACGTGTTTCTAAGTCTTACCGATTTAAATATTTAAGTGTTTTAAACCATTCACGCGCATTCGGAGCTGCGCACTCATTCAAAGCGCGCACAGAGAGCCGCGTTTCAGACAATGCGCGTACACAGAATTGATTCCTCTTTCGCGTATCCTTGCATCTGAACACATACACACTAAATTATCTCAGAATAACTGTCTCGGCAAGTACTCCCGTAAACACAGTCGGTTATGTCTTAAGTGAACGTAAATAGTGGAGAAAGAAATCTCAAGTGCATCTTTCACCACCCTGCCCGATGGGCTATCTTGAACAGTGATATAAAATTCCTTCCTTGATTAGGGGTAATGTAGGGGTAAAACGGATCATAGCTGATCGTTTGCACGTGTTTCTAAGTCTTACCGATTTAAATATTTAAGTGTTTTAAACCATTCACGCGCATTCGGAGCTGCGCACTCATCATAAGCGCCACCTGCTGTCAGCGAATGAGATTTGCGTCTCATTCACAAATCTAAAATCAGATCATTCTGTTTTTGCTTCAAATTTCGAAATTATACAATCTAATTGCAATCTGAATAACATGTATTTAGCATCTTTGTTTGGATCATGATTAAATTGCAGTGGTTGCCTCTGATTTTAAAGGGGTCCTATTATGCTCTTTTACAATGTCTTGAATTTGTTTTGGGGGTGTACTAGAACATGCTCTCATGCTTGGTGGTTCGAGTTGAGTGAATCGTTGCATCCCTATATGCTACTAGTTTTTGATTTGGTATCAAAGAAGTATTCTGTTAATTAAATAATAAAGAACCATATTTTTTTTATCACATATCGGATCATTTTGCTCATCTACAAAATGATTCCAATCTGTTACTCAAAATCTGATATGATAATGCAATATGATC